ACAAAAAAAAATAATAGTTTCACAGAAGAAATACATACGCATTATTATTATTATTATTTCATTTTTTTTCTTCTATATTGAAATATGAATAATGACGAACTTTTATCTTTCATTTTATTTTTATTCTGGAATTTGTAGAAAGATAATTTAATCATAACATGCAAAAGACAAGTTAGATGAACTAGTTTTATGACTTACATATGCATAATATAATTGATGTATATTGCTTCGAATAATTCATGATACAAATAATCTTTTTTCACATATGAACAATAAAGTTCTTTTACAGGAGTATAATCATCAAAAGCAGAGGAATGAATGAATAAAAGTTCAATTGAAACACAAGTAAGAATAATATCAAGTTTAACAGGTTTATACAGAATTCTAGGGTAAATGAAAGTAAGAATTACAATTGCGTACTGTATAAAAGTAGAAAGAAACAATGAGATGTCATATTCATTCATAATTTTCACTTACTTCATTGTGATAGTTTGAAATAAAGAATATTAGATATGTCTTATAGACTAACAAAATATTAGAATTATACTTAATGTACTCAGCGGCGGATCTAGGATTTTGGAAGAGAGGGGCGATTTCGGCTAAAAACTATTTTTGAGCCCAATCGAAGTAGTGTGAACCTACTTTTTCGTTCATTCTTGCTGTGAAAAACGAAAAAAAATTTCTGAAGGGAAGCGACGACCCCCATCGCCCCCTTTCCTCTCAATCCGCCACTGGATGTACTATAAATTTACCTGTCGTATTATACTAATATCGATAATTAATAACAATACATGAAATTTATATATTATTTATAATAATTTTCTTTTATTTATTGAATAGTATACAATATTTTATGTTATATATCTAAATAGATATCTATTATACATTTTTATTAATGTAAGTTGAAATAGTACAGAAAAAAAATTTTTTTAAGAGCATATAAACAATAGTATTTATCTACATCATTACTGTCTATGAACAATATTTATACAATTGAATGAAGAAGTTGAAAGTCAAAATTATTTGAATAAATATTTTTTTGTTGATTATTTTTAAATTGAGTTAAATTGTTTGTTAATTGAATTGAATTATTTGTTAATTGAGTTGGTATTGATTCTTGTTTTTCGAATTGATGTTGTTTGTTTTCATCATGTTTTATCCAGTGAAATGAATAAACTATTGTCGCCATTTGTTTTTAGTTCGTATATTATATGTGTATGAGCGAACTGATCGATTTACTTATAACCTTATGAATATCATTTTACTATTCTTTTTATACCAGTCGACCGCTATGCTTGTTATAGGTGAGTCATATATATAGTCGGAATCTTCCAACTACTGTCTCTTTATTATATTGCGTCATCATATTCATTCGCATGCTTACGTTGTTGATTAAAAACATAATCGAATACCGTATAGATAAAAATACTTCCTTGGTAGTGAATCATTAGAAAGAAACGTAATATTTTGAATGGTAAATATCAATGTGATATGAATAGGTTTACTGCGTAAATATTATAGTTTATACTATTTTTAAAACTGAAAGGACTTTCACCTTTCTTCTGATTATACAACGTAACAATCAGTCGATAGTTTCGTAAAACTTATGCAATTACATATTATTTTTTATCTATTATTTAGAAAAAAAATTTATTTTCAAAATTCAATATGCAAATTTTATTTATTATAATAAATCTATTAAAAATATATGTTTACATAGCAGAAACATTTGTAATGTGAACATCGCCTTTGACTTGTAAAGCCTGTACGTTTTGAAATGGTAATCGATGTCGAAATGTAAACCATGGTTGACCATTGCAATTAACCTAGAAATAAAATATTTTGATATAAAGATGAATTATTTCTTATCTTGTTTTTGTGCTTACTTGATAATGTTCGGGAAAGCAAACAATTTGAATTTCGAATTGTTGACCGGGATGTAATGGAAATCCTCCTTGTTTTTCTTCTGCACCCCAACCACCACCTTGACATGAATTACGTACAGCTTCACGTTGATCAAATCTTGGATTGAAATGAAATGCAACATCAGCACCATTATAATTTCCTGCTAATAAATTAAATTCAAATCGTGATGCATTATGTGCTGATTGACCAGTAATAGTTATAACACGACCTAAATATTTA